AGAGACGGGATTTAGCCCTTGTTCCCAGTACAATGAATGCAACACGGAGAATACTTTTGAAAATGACAAGATACAGTCCTATTTTTAATCCAGCACTGCGGGGCATATTTAACAATTACTTGCAAATCTGCATAATGAATGAGGAGCGAGTGTGTATTTTAAGTCTCTGCCACTTGATTCCCCAACTTGGCGTGTTAATGCACGTGAGATGGAGAGACAACGTGGGTGAAATTTTCAGAATATATATGGTAATTTCTTTTTTTTTTTGTTAGGGATATGGGGGGAAAGAAAGGGAATAAGATGCAGGAGTGAGATTTTGTGGAGTGGATTTAAAAGCTTCTGATACTAATGATTTTATTAATAATAATAAGTAATGTTATTTTTTTGTAATTTGGCCCTTCATTCACGTTTAAATGCAAATGAGATGTTAATTTTTCTTAATGATTTGTTGTACCTGAGGCATGGAAAAGCTCAGAAACTCAACTGTCTGACTGCTTTTGTGCTCAGGGTATGAAAAGTAATTTAACAAAGTGTTTTCTAATCAAAGTAATGTAACCTGATCTCACTTGCATTTGGATCTTTAATACAATGCAAAATCAGTGGAACCACTCAGTGTGTGTGAGTGTGTGTGTGTGTGTGTGTGTGAGGACTAATGACGGGACAGATCATCAGCTGAACAGCCAGCCTGCCAACATGCAGCTAAAGGAGAAGAATTTAATTGGAGTTAACAGCAAACTGGGTGAAGAACAGTGAGAGCAGCTCCCAGTGTGTGTATGTGTGTTTTATCATCTGAAATACGAGCCTGACTGCTGTAAACTTCCGCATTGACTTTTACGTCTATTCTTAATTTTTGATGATTCCCCATCAACGACAGTAAACGGTTAAATTGGCTGCATTAAACTGACATATTTATTTATAAGTGCACTTCCGGGGGGGGGAAATGGTGTGAAATATATAAGATGGCGTCAGATTTGAGATCGAAGCACTGATGGAAACACCAAAAAATGCGATTTTGTTTTATATTATAGTGTTTAAATACACTTTTTAGGGTGTATTTCAGCTTTAAAATGTATTTTTTTTTAAATAATAATTGGGTTTACTTAGCAAAAACATCTCTGAACTCGAGGAAACACACGATAAAAAATAATTTATTGGTAATGTGTGATGAATGTGTGTCGATCAAGTAATTTCCCACAATCCTGCCTGTCACCTGAAGTTGAAAAAGAATACTTGAGACTTCCCACTTTTTTTTTATTAATTTATTTTTTTATTTAGCCTACAGAATATTTGTTAAAGAAATAAAAAATTAAAAATTAAAAAAAAAAAATAATTAAAAAAAAGAGATGCAGCCTGGCTGATAATAAACGGCAATAATGCTCATAATAATGCAGCCGAATTTGCACTTATTACTTGAAAATGATGCTCACATTATATTAATATCATAAATGCAAAGCTGGGAAAAAATACAGTAAAATATATGAATATTTAAACGAGATTTCGTTATGAGATGCTGCACAGGACCAGCGTGTGTGTTCCAATCAATAGGCCACACACTGATGTTATAATTAGTTTATAACTCTGCAATATTAATGCACAGGAAATACACGCCTAAATAAGTGTCCGTAAATGATATATAATTATAAAAAAAGAGGATTTTTGTTGCAACAACACGGAGCAAACAGGACAAAATAAATAAAAGCCATGATAAGAAACATAGATCACATTCTAATTTTACATTTAAACGAGGGGGGATCGATGGAAAACAGTCGTAATGATCCAATTAATTATGGGCAAAATTAAAAGCAAGTGCAAAATCAATCTTTCACGGTGTCGAGGATGGAATCAAATTGATGCTCCATCTGTTCACGCCAGCAAAAAAAAAAAAAGATTTGTAGCCCGGGAGTGTTTGTGGCTGCTCGCTGCTGGAGCACATGGACACAGTGAGGACAACCCAGTGTACAGTAACAGTGTCAGGAGATGTGTGTGTTAGTGGATGCAGGTGTGTTTTAAGAGCTGGTCGTTTAATGTGGATTTTTGACACGTAAAGAGCCTGAGAATAGTTTTAATTATGATGTAGGATATGTGAGCATGCACAGATTTACAAATGTCGCCACACAGCCGCCATAACTCTCCTGACAGAGTCCCTCCCTGCAATCGAAAAGGATTAATATTCAACTTACAACCAAGTGGTGTCAGCTCCCCTCTGCAGGGAAACTCAGATCGATTGGTGACGTTGGAATAACGCGAGACAACCTGCACGGGAAGAGACACACACAGAGAGAGAGAGAGAGAGAGAGAGAGAGAGAGAGAAAACATAAATAACACCTCTCCCACCTCCAGAAATAAAAAAGTTCTTCCTTCCATCATCCTCCCCACAGTTGCCTCAAAGTGTGAGCTGATGTTCGGCGGGTGGAGCTGCGTGCAGGACCCTCGGTGCTGCTGCCGCTTCCTCCTCCTCCTCCTCCTCCTCCTCCTGCATGCCACCTCTCCTCTCTCCTCTCTGCACAGGCCATTAGGAAGCGGGGCAAAAGATAAATTGCTCTCTGTCAATACATTACACCTCTCCTAATGGGTGCACCCGGGCTCCAAAAACATTTTCCAAACTCTTGACATGCAGTGTCTTAAACACTGCAGAGCGGAGTCAGTAATTGATTTCAATTCTAATTTTTCTACAGAAAATTTGGGCTGTTTCCTGGCTACACGTGGTTATTAGTATTAATTATTAAAGGAGCTGCAAAAATAAGAAGAAGAGGTGATAATTAATTCAGCTTTTGTGTTGTTTAAATGGCTTCTGTGACCCCCGTGTTGTTGCAGCTGAATGGGGCCCCCTTCCTAAAAAGAGGGCCCATCTGACCACACGGTCAGCGCACGTGCTGCTCAGACACAAACAAAGTGAACACGTGAAAACAGAGTGTTTGTTTAGATATTTATAAAGAGAAGAAATCATTTTGTTTCCTGCTCCTGCTTAATTTTTGCAGTGGGGAGATCAGATTGTGGGAGCAGGAGGACACGAGAGGAAACTGAGGGAGGGGGTGATGGTAGTGGTGATGATGGTGGTGGTGGTGGAGGTGGTGGAGGGGGGCTTATAGGGGGGGAGAAAAAAAAAAAAGGATGTAGCTTTAAGGGAAATGTGCAGCCGGCTGTGAAATTACAGCCTATAGTGCTACATATTGTACCAGAAGCTCTCTCCAAAAACAGTAACAAAAAGAGAAATCATCCCCTAACCTGACCAGGAGGCAGAGATGTGGCCGTCTGCCCCCAAACCCCACCTACCTACACCCCCCCCACACCCCCCACCCAAAATATGGTCAAATACGTGGCGGAGAGCGCGTGCACGAAACAATAACAAGGAGAATTAGACACTCACCTGGAGTGATGTCTTTTATTTTGAAATCTTATGTTATTATCGATCATTTTTTAATTATTTTAATTATTTTATAATTATTAAAATACATTATATTTAAATATATTTTATAAGTACCGTCATGTAAGGCATGCAGGAATATTAAGACTAACTGACTGATATTTTTGATCAATTTGAGGCTTTATTTTTTTTAATTTTACTTTTTATATTCTTTTAATTTCTTTGCTTTGCTTCCTTTTTTAAAAAAACTTTAAGAAAAGTGCTTCACAAATTCAGTTTAGCATTATCATATTAATAATTATTATTATTTTAATTCTATACAATATCATTATTATTATAATTATTATTAGTAGTAGTAGTAGTAGTATTTTTGTTAATTCATTCTTAATTCTACACGTTATTATGATGACTATTATTATTATTATTATTATTATTATTAATAGTAGTAGTAGTAGTAAGATTTCATTTTATAATTTTATTTCTATTAATTTATAACTAATTCTATATATTATTATTATTATGATTAGTAGTAGTGAATTTAATTATAATTTTATTTTTAACAATTTATTATTATTTCTATACGTTATTATTTATTTATTTATTTATTTAATTGTATAATTTATCTAAAAAAATCTAATTTTAATGATTCTTATAGATATTATAAATGCCTGTGTAAAAATATATATTAACAGGATCCCAAATGAAGCCTCTTGACTTTCCCTCCATAACCGCTCAGTTTAACTTCACCCTGCAGGTGGAGGCCAGGTCTCATCTGCTGTTTCATTCCTTGCACCACCCTACATGGATCTATAACACATGGATTATTGCTGCGGAAGAATATCTGTAACTCCTAACTTTGATCACTCAACTGCACCCCAAGTTCCACTTTTTTGGGAGGGGGACTTTGACAGCACCTTTAAAATTTGAGAAACCATACAGCGCCATCTACAGAAGCTGAGCGGCACTGCTGCGTGCAGACCACTCTCACCTCCAACCTCCAACCACCTCCAGTGCTCCCAGTTTGGACCACTGCAATCATGACACCATCAGCTGGATGTAAAGAGGTCAAAGCATGTGCGTTAACATATATTACCCCCCTGTTAGACATTTTAAAGCAACAAAATGAGGCTGTATAATTATTTCAGGCCTATTGGGCTCCAGAGCGGACATAAAGACACATGTGGAGGAAATACATTAAATAAAAAGATTAAATGTGAAGATCCAGGGTGTGAGGACGCAGAGATATTCCCACAGACAGTCCGAGTGGTAAAAAAAAATAAATAAAATAAAATCAGAAAGACGCACAGATGTTTTAAAAATAATCTCAAAACTTCCTTATAATTCACAGCTGTTGTAATGTGTAATAATCTGATATTTCTAACTCTGATCCGCTCCTTATTTATCTCCCTCCCCTTCCTGCCGGTGTGTCAGACCCACAGACCTCCTCATTTGGACCCTTTTTTTCCCTCTTTGCGTTGGCGAATCACAAAGTGTTGGCATCTATTGCCTTTGTCTGACAAGTCATCCATATAAGCAAAAGGGGGGTGTGCAGAGGGGGAGGAGAGGGGGGGAGAAGAGGAGAGGAGAGGAGAGGAGAGGAGGGGAGGGTTGCAGCTTTTAGAACCACAGACACAGAGCGAGGCTTCATTCCCAGCCCCAAAGATCCAGCCTTACGCATCCAGCGCTGAAGACCAACCCGATGTGTGTGTGCGCACCGTGTTTTGACGCGTGAATCAAGGCCACCAGGATTGAGGAGATACACCGCGGCCCTGCACGCTGGACCTGCACCGGTGCATTTGCAAGAAGAAACTGCTCGCTGGCTGGCACGCTGTGAGAATTAACCTCCACCAAGGCTTCTTCTTCTTTTTTGTTTCTGCAGAACACAAACTAAACCCCAGGTCGCGTCACTGAAACAATCCGGTCATGCCGCTGCTGCGCACCTGCCAGACCTCCGCGCCCGGACCGGACTGTTGAAGACAGCAAGAAGACAAGGCAACTTTTTGGGGGGAAGAAGTTGCCGTCAGATCGGTTGTTGCAGCAAGGGGGTGGAGGGGCAAACTCAAGTCCCTCCATCGAGTCGAATTTTTCTCCTCACATTTTCATCCGTGACAGGAAGGCGACACGGCGACTTCAGTTGATTATCTCTCTTTCCTTTGCTATCCAATGGATATTCACTGCAAAGCGGACCCCTTCACTGCGATGCACCGTAAGTAGCACAACCCGAGTTCCCCCTGCAGCTTCCATGCGGATAGAAATAATAAGAATAAATACATGTGTGCATATTACACCGGCCTGCAGCGGAGCATGTGTGCTAACAGCATTTTGGCGCATAATAAACTGACATGCAGCAAACATGGAAACACAGTGCCATAAATACTCCTTTTATCACGTGTGCACATATTCTTATTTAAAAATCTCTAAAAAATATAATAAATTGCAGCAACTCTTGTGCACGCACTGCACAAATTAAACTTGTCATAGTAAACAAAGAACATGCGTTGGCAGGTGCTCTGTAATTTACACGTGTATCAGCCTCCAGCTTCCCGCGCACTGTGTGTGTAAACTGTGTGTGTGTGTGTGTGTGTATTTCAGGCCTAATAACACATATATTATTCAAATTATTCAAATAGCAACAAACTCTATAAGTCCAGCTGAACATACACACTCCTATCATTGTAATTTGGGGCATGTGTGTGAATAATTGATGCCCTCTTCGTTGACTAAATAATATGTAATATGAGTAATCAAAGCTCGTTCAATTATTTAAAATTACCGTGCAGGGAAAATGAGGGAGCGTGTAACTTAATAGGCAAAACATGAGCCGTGCAGGAGCTGCTGGGAAAATATGAGGGCAGGGAAACTTTGACTATATGGAGCCTCACATAAATTATTTTTTTAATTATTATTTGCACAATTTAAACAGCAGGTAATGACACATACTCATGGGTCAAAACAGGTTATTGTGATAATCGCACAAGTTGCAAAATAAGAGTGTGACAGGTGAAAAATCAGACTGTGTGAGGAGGTGTTCACTTAAATGTAACCTTTTATTTTGTCTTATTTAGTCTTAAAATAGAACATTTGGCATATTATAAAGAATTAATGTAATTAATTGTAATTTTAAAAGTTAAATATAAACAGGGAGTGAAACTACAGACCAAAATGCATGGATACAGATTAAAATAAGACACATTTTAAGCTGCAATGTCATTAAAAATGAAAATAACACTAATAATTACGGACACCAGCTTTACAGTGTCTGCTCTGCTTTTTCTTATAACATAAAAATATTTTTTATTCACTAATTATTGGAAATAATGACTCACAAATTTTAATTATTTAGTCACTGTGTTGCATATTTCATACATTATTAAACGTTTAAAACGCGTAAGGCGCCTCCATGGTGGCACTAAACAACTTTCTGCGTCCTTAAAATTAAAAATTCAAATAATATATATATTTTTAAACAGTAATCTGATTTCAAACATCCTTTAAGGCTTCTCCATAACACCATAAACACATATAAATCCACCTGCTCACTAGAAAACACAATTTCCCGTCATTATTTTTACACCCACCAAACTCACCTGCGCCTTCTTCTCTCCACGACGACTTTATGTAATGTTACGGTTGTGTGTGTGCTGCTGTTGTATCCCACGTAGGGCACGGAGGTGTGAACCAGCTCGGCGGGGTGTTTGTGAACGGCAGACCCCTCCCGGACGTGGTGAGGCAGCGGATAGTGGAGCTGGCCCATCAGGGCGTCCGGCCCTGCGACATATCCAGGCAGCTGCGGGTCAGCCACGGCTGCGTCAGCAAGATCCTGGGCAGGTGGGTGAAGACCTCTGCAGCCAGGTGCACCGAGTGTGCTGCTGGGTGGGTGTGAGGAGGTGGATGGATATATGTATATGTGTGTGCAGTGGTGGTGGAGCAGTGGGCTCACATATAAAACTCAGCTTTAAATTCCTAAACATATGGTTAAATAATGGTCCGAAATTACGCATTAACAGTATTTTTGAGGGTTAGTGGAGATCAGGTGGGCTTCTCCTTTATTTTTTACATGCATTCAATCGGAATTTAACAGAGTTACATCTTTGCCGTGCATGCATGCGTGCACCAGTGTATTTTTCTTGCATTTTAATTCGCTTTTACGCAAAAATGTGTTTGTTTTGTGCCATCATGTTAATGTAAAGACGCCTGTTAAACTAATAAAACGCAAAAGTTGGATAGTTTGCTGCAAAAAAGTTTGACTTTCCTGCTAAAAAGTAGTTCTAGTGCCATATGTGTCATAAATGTGTGTATCATTGCGTTTAAAATGATATTAAATCTTCAGAGGGTGTCGGTGGGATGGAGTCTTAAATATTGCAAGCTGTAAGAATATTATTATTTTTTGCAGATATTACGAGACTGGCAGCATCAAACCAGGGGTGATTGGTGGGTCTAAACCTAAAGTGGCCACGCCAAAGGTGGTGGAAAAAATCGCAGACTACAAGAGGCAAAACCCAACCATGTTTGCGTGGGAGATCAGAGACAGACTGCTGGCAGAGGGCATCTGCGACAACGACACTGTTCCCAGCGTCTCATCCATTAACAGGTAGGACGCACCGGTTAAAAGCTTAAAAGAAAAGATGCAAATTTGGATTTAATGTTTTTTTTTTTTTGTTGTTGTTGTAAATATAGCTGGGGTTAAACACCGGGCTGCAGGGTGTAAACACCTTAATGAATAAATGATTTATCACGGTGTATCTGTGCTAAGCGCACAGCAGAATATTGTTTGACCAACTTTTGTGCTGGCCGGCAGGCCGAGGCTGCCCGCGGTCTCTGAGGTGCAATTCAATCTTTCAGACCAAACTCCCTCAACAATCAGCAGTACATCCAGGACTGAGTGAATCTGTCGAGATGAAAACCGATCAATATTCGGTGACCAGATCCCGTGGCGCTATAAAGCAGGCCAATTTTCTTTAGCACATCTAATGTGCTGCTGCTGCTGCTGCTGCTGCACACAGGCTCATGGCTTTCTGCTGGATTTTATTTTGAAGAATTAAGGGGAAACAGATTGGCTGTAATTTGCAAAATAAGGTGATAAATATAAACATATTGTTGCAAGAGAAATCCTTGCATTAACAATCGAGATGGTATCCTGCTGTAATTAATATTGATGTAACATTGATGATGCATAAAAGTGCTATGGCTAATTATCTGGTAAAATATCCATATTTAAGATTTCAAGAATCACTATTGATGCTAAAAATCTCTCTTAAAGAAATATGTAAACGGCACTATTTGTCATAGGTGCAGATTTCAGGGGTGGGGGATGGTGGGTGCATTTGTTCCCCCCACTCCATCCCACCCCTAATAAATAAAAACATTACCTTTTTACAAAATTGAGGAGGTAAACCATTAATTGATGCAGAAAATGCACAAATTGGTGCCTAAATATCCACCTAAAAGCAAGGAATGCTCAAAATTTTCTGGTGAAGGACCCCAAAGGCCCCCTAATAAATTAAAATATGAATGAAGCAGAGAACGTTTATTCTGACAAAACTGAAGACATTTACACCATAAATTCATGCAGAAAGCGCATTAATTTGTGTTTAAAAATTCACCAGAAAGTAAGAATTTAAGTGTTTGATGCTAAAGATTCTCTGACGAAGGACCCCCGAACTCCCCCTTATAATTTAAAACATGAATGAAGCAGGGAACTTTTATTCTGACAAAACTGAAGACATTTACACTATGAATTAAAGTAGAAAATGTACAATTTGGTGCCTGAATATTCACCTCAAAACAAGACCTTGAGTGTTAAATGCTCAAATTTTTCTGACGAAGGACCCCAAAGCCCCCCCAATGAATAAAACATGAAGGAAGCAGAGAACATTCATTCAGACCAAACTGAAGACATTTACACCATAAATTAATGTAGAAAATGTAAAAATTGGTGTATAAACATCACGAGAAAGCAAGAAATTAAATGTGTCAGGCTCAACTTTTTTTGGGCGAAGGACCCCCAAGCCCCCCCAATAAATAAAAACATCAATTAAGCAGAAAACTTTTATTCTGACAAGCATGAAGACATTTAAAACAATAAATTGATGTAGAAAATGTAAAAATTGGTGTATAAAAATTCACCAGAAAGCAAAAAATTGACTGTTTGATGCTCAAATCTTTCTGGCACAGCCTCCCCCAGTAAATAAAAATATGAATGACAGAGAATTTTTATACTGACTAAATTGAGGACATTCAAAACTATGAATTGAGTAGAAAATGTACAAATTTTTGTGTGAACATTCACCAGAAAGCAAGACATTAGGTGTTTGATGCTCAAAATTGAAAATTGTATGGCCCGGGACCCTCAATGCCTCCCAATAAATGAAAACATAAAAGAAGCAGAGGGCTTTTATTTTGATAAAAATAATACATGTACACCATAAATTGATGTAGAAAATGCAGAAATGTGTGTATGAAAATCCACCATAAAGCAAGAAATTAAGTGTTTCATGCACAAAATATGTCCCCCACCACCCCAATGCTGAAATGCAACCTACGCCCCTGCTACAGTCATAGAGTGGCAGCTACAGGAGGACCCAGGACACCCCCACCCTCACCCTCACCCCTCCTCACCCCCCCTCCACCAGAGATCCCTGGTGATGAACTTTGGTTAAGAGGCACTGTTCCATAGAGCCAGCATCAGCATTACATTTTAATGAGCTGATGGGAGAGCATGGACAGCTCCACACAAGACATCTTTTAAATAGAGAAAAAGGCTGAAGAAAATTCATTTCATGCTTCGTGGCTGCTTAAAAAGCCCCATTTAAGGAGGCTCAGACACATGTATGTGATAAATTCAAAATGTACATTAATATCATTAAAAGAGCCCTATAAAGTTTTTTCAATTCCAATTAAAGCTTTTTCTATTTTGGACCCCGGGGGTGGGGGAGCCTTATGTGTCTTTGTTTATGTGGGAAATTAAATTGTGAATACAAAGAAGTGTAATTCTATCAGCCAAATATGAGAGCTACTTTGAATTTCTATTACGGCTTAATGCTGATTTTTTTTCTTTTTTTTCTTTAAGCTGATTTCAATGTGTTGCTCTGTGCTACACACACACACACACACACACACACACACACACACACACACACAAACACAATGGCGCGCAAATGAGATGCATTTGTTTTGATTTAGCTGGAGGTTAATATTTCAGGGCATTTCAGTGAATTTCTAAAGGAGCAGTCCGCAAAAAAATCAATGAAAACATCCTTAGTGCTTCAGATCATGTGATGCTACTGGAAAAATATCTGAAAATAAACGAGAGAAGTTTTCTTTTTTGCCAGAGGTGTTAAAACAAGGGTTCCCCCACTTGAGACAATTCAGAAAAAAAAATTAAAAAACAACCCGTAAGACTGGAGCCAAAGTCTTTTCCAGTTGGGTGACTCTGACTGGGGCCAGTCGTGGGTTTCTGTGGCAGACAGTCTGACCTCAGGACTGTTGACAAAAGAGGATGCTCCATTTAAACACCTTTCGCCTGCATGCATTATTAAATGCTACAGAGACAGTGTTGTACTACGAGTCAGGGGCCATCACAACCAACAAGTAACGCTACCCTGTTGGTAGACATATAAAAAAAAAAAAAAAAAAAAAAAATCCTCAATGGCGCTCGATATTATTGATTCAGAAGGAAAGCAATTTTAATATTTCTTCAGGGGATTTTCAGCAACAGCCAGGTCATTAATTCATTCTCCCAAATTGCTTATTCAATATCAAGAACATGGATACCAAATAAAGTCTTTGAATTTATGTAGCACACACAAGTCAAAGGGGTCGAATAACTGTTATGGGGAGAAGTGAAAAAAATTAAAACATCAATATGCGCTCTCTGGAAAAAGCTTGTTGTTGTAGCTTTGCCTCCAAGGCGAGTTTTTTTGTGTGTGTGACAGTGTTGGATTTATTCCTCTGAAGCCTTCTGGCACCTACAGTAACATCAATATCCAAATCATCTGATGCATTTCTGGATAATATGGAGAAAATATAACAGGAGTATTTTTGGTTCGGTGTGTGGAGGCTTGTCTGTTCATCCTACTGGAATAATACATGCACAAAAACAGGGGCGTAGGTTTAAACATATGAAACGGGGGGTCAATTTTGAGCATCAGACACTTTATTTACTGCATTTTGGTGAATTTTCATGCACTAATATGCGAGTTTTCTGCTTCAATTTATGTTGCAAATGTCTTTAATTTTGTCAAAATCAGAATCCTCTACTTTTTTCATGTTTTCAGTGGGGGTGACAAATGCCTATGTTCTAAAAACTGAGGGGAACGTATCCCCTGTGCCCCCGAAATCTTCGTCTATGACTGAAACATACTGCCCATGGCACTGAGTATCAACAATCTAAACCACCAGAATTTGGCATCAAATGTCCGGTCTGATTCAAAATCTTGTTTACTTATTTTTAAATCAGATATCTTCTGATTGCAGATTTCAGACGGACTATTTATGCACCAATTTTAAGATTTTGCAGGTGTCGTTTAGGACACTAAATGGGGGATGTGAAGGTTTTTGCAACCATGTGTGAGTTCCAATTTTGGTGCAAACTGTGTAAAATAGTGAGTCATTTTATTTTGGTTATCATGTCATATCCTGGAGTGTATATGACTGTCTTATTAATGTTTAAGTGTACTGTTGAAAGCATCAAACACTCAATTTTCTGCAATTTTCATGCACCAATTTGTGTCTTTTCTGCATCAATTTAAGGTGTAAATGTCTTTAATTTTACACCATTGCTACTTCTATGTTTTTATTTCAGTGGGACAGATGCACATGCTCTATCCCTCAATCCCCCCTAAAATCCGCACCGATGCAAATAAATAAGGATCTAAATCTGAATTGTGCACCCTAAAAGGCCCCACAGTCCTCACCCGACCTCTCTTTGTGCTCCAAAATAGCTCCGGTGGCATACATGATGAATAGTTTTAAAGTTTACAAATTATTGTGACAGCTCCCTTTCTCCCCAAGTGCCATTCAGATTAAAGGAATCTAATGCTGGCGTAAGCTTGTGCAAGGCAATAAGGAACTATTGCTTTCCTGTCACATATAATTTATAGCTTTCTATTTGCATCTGTTTGCCCGTGTGACTAATCCCCAACTTTTTCTCCCCAAGCCCCGATCAATACAACCTCATCCACATTGGCACATGGGGGGCTGCTGGTTCTACAGAGATGTTTGATCTGGGAAGCAAAAGGGCTGCGATCGGACCCGGTGAAACCCCCTCCACAGTGGGGGGGTGGGGGTGGGGAGAGACGAGGGGGGAGAGAGCTGATTAGTGTGGGCCAGGTAGAGTCAGTGAAGCTGATCATTGAGGTGAATTGATGTGATTTCATGCTTTGTTTGCAAGATCACTCAGACCAAAAGTGCAATGAAGACTTTTCTCCACAGCTCACCTTTAAGGTAGAACCACTGACCAGATCCCTGCTTGCGTATGAGTTGCGTTTGATATCTTAATCTCACAATATCTCTGTAGTAGCTGCTGTTAGGGGTGGTTAGGGAAATCTCCAGGAAGGGACGTGGGTTGTAGAAGAGCAGCTGTGACATCTGTTTTTTTTTTTTTTTTGTCCCTTTGTTCCTCAGGATCATCCGAACAAAAGTCCAGCAGCCTTTCCATCCGTCTCCTGATGGGTCATCCCTGTCAACACCAGGCCATACTATAGGTAATGCTGCACCTCACAGCATCATGTGAACACTGCTGGTTTGAAATGTAATGGGTAACAGATTACTTTGCAGATGTGATTACCTTTTGATTATAATAAAGCTGAAGGGTCCTAAAAACATAAATTATGTCGATGTTGACGCCATTTTCATCGCTGGTGGTAAACAAGCTTAACGCTGCACAGTGATGTCAGAGCTAATTTCTGATTTTAGAAGGGAAGTATTTTTGAATTTTGAAGAACTGAAAGGCATTCTTGTCTGACCACATGGCCACCTAACTTGGCATTGTTGACCGGTCGCAAACTCAGGGTTCTTAAAGTATTGTGCAAGGATTTTATTGGGAGACAAGAGGCGGAGCAAATTCAAATAAAAGAACCAACCAAAAACAATGCTGAAAATTTGACGTAGAAGCAGCTCCTTGTAAGCCAACCTATGCTTGATGGTGCACCCAAATTTGTCCCAAAGGCGTTGCTGACCCTTGTTGACTGGCAATAGGCCAAAGAAAGGTTTTACGTGCATGGCGACAAGATGCAAAGCAACATAATAAATGTTTTATTCAACCTATCAGCTTTTTACCAAAAATATATTCGAATGTAACCGCTTTACAATCGCTAACATTGTGATTAGCAACTGTAATTTAATCCCGTATTTCTCCACGTAACTAGTTATTCCGCAACACTGCCTATGACATCAAGGCACATACTAGGGCTGGGCGATATGATATTATATCGATATCGTGATATGAGACTAGATATCGTCTTCAATTTTGGATATCATAACGTAACATAATGTAATTTTCTGAACATAAGCAGACTGTTTGAGCTGTTCTATTATTTGCCTTTACCCACTTTGTCATTATATCCACATTACTGATGATTATGTATTGAAAATACAGAAATATTTTGTGAAGCACGAATTGTCAACCCTACAATAGCGATGCAATATCAATATCGAGGTATTTGGTTAAAAAAAATATCATGATTTTTGTCATTTCTTCCCAGTAAATACCGTACATGCATTAGGAGTGTGTCGATATACCGGTATAGACGATAACCATAATATTTAAAATATGAAATACTGATATCATGGTAATAATACACATACGATAATATTGTGTAAATAATCCAGCGCCTCTTAAATTGTTTGTTTCTTTCTGCTCTTGCTTTGTCCCCCTCTCCATCTCTGAACTCTTGTATTTTGTAGTAAAGTTGGAGTAAAGATGAATTTGACCAATTAGCATTATTATTAGTAATTTTACAAATATATGCCGATATTATCGTTATCGTGAATTCTTTTTGCTACGATAATTGTGTAGTGAAAATCTGATATGCACGTTCCCCCCCCCCAGTACCAAGCACAGCCTCTCCGCCTGTAACCAGCGCCTCCAACGACCCTGCAGGATCCTACTCCATCAACGGGATTCTGGGTATTCCACGATCCAACGGTGAAAAGAGGAAAAGAGATGAAGGTAAGGGAATTTTGTCTATCTTGAGAAGTAAAGAAAAAAAAGCTCAGCTCAGGATTAGCATGAAGAAAATATCTTTTCAAAAAAGGCTAAAAACTTGAGTAGAATTCTGTGCAGCTTTATGCTATAAAACCCACTTTGCTGAACTTGCAATTACAGCATTAAAACCTGCTTCAGTTCCAGCAGATGACCCTTATAAAACACCTAAGTCTGAACTCTGTTACACCGCTGTGTCAATCTGCCAAGGAGTCTTTTGATTTGAAGACACGACCTCCGCTGTTGTCTCCTGCAATTAATCTTTATGGAAGTGATTAAAGGGCTTTAGATAATTACATGTCAAGATGATGTAGCCAACCACCCAGGTCAGTCAAGAAAGCCGCTGTAGCTCTGTGGAGGGCTTTTTTTTTTCCTCCTTTAACAAAAGTGGCTCCACTTCTGCTGCTGAAGTAGTAGGTTAGTGGATATAAGAGAGCCTGAGGCGATATAGATTATTGGTTCTGTAAGCAATAGGCTTCCTTAATGTCACTACATAAGTAGCTGATGAGAATAGCTAAACAGATGCACTCCGAAGCATGTATGGGTACGGAGGGATGATGTGGCTGCTGGAAAAAGGGGCAGTTATCTCAAACAGGGTGGGGAATGAGTGCCTTATTTCTGCAGTGCTGTGGAATGAGAGCTAATCAGAGCACGGCAGCAGTTTACATAGCGTCTTCTTTGTTATGGCGTTTGTTGAGAAGCACGGGGGTTTGCGGGATATTGAGTGGAATTGATGTTTTATGTGCGTGCAGGGGAGGGAGGGGATGACTAATGACCTGTCAGAGGTAGATTTCCTGGCAAAGATATAAAAACCAGCATGACGTGGACATGGCAAATGACATAATCAAGTCTTTCCCTGTAAGAGATGCAATCGCGGCGGCATAATGCAAACGTCTGGTATTTTCAAGGGTTCATTTTCAGTCGTTCGAGGACCTCTCATATTAGCCGGGGTGTAATGTCTAGTCCCTGAATGATAGAATGCACACATTTCTATGCAGATTGCTACTGAAGGGCAAAGAGGTATTAAAGGGCATGGAGGGGAATAAGGTGTGTGTGTGTGTGTGAGGAGGAGAGCCGGCCTGTTTTGTGGAGGTCTTCCAGGTGACAGCGCCATGTTTCTACGGCTATTCAGTCTCAAATGATTCCCCTGATGTGCTGCCATTTCTGTGATTTAGGTGCTCGGCCAGCATTACGATGAAAGAGAAGAAAGCTGTGTGTGTGCGCGCGTGTGTGTGTGTGTGTGTGTGGGGATGTGTGCGCCCATGTGTGTGTTTGTGTCAGGGTAGGACTTGTACTGAGGGTGACAGAGGGAGCTGTGGTTCTTATATACTCTCTCTTATAACGGCCAGCTGGTGCCTACCTGGAACCACGGGGTCAGGGATACTTTATCTTTCCAAAACATAAACCCCAGGCCTCGGCCGCACACACACACACGGCTGCAAAAGCAATGTCTCGCCTCGAGCCACAGTTTGTAAGAATAGTATATTACATACGATGTTACCCTGTAGACACTATTGTCCTGTTGCTGTTTGCTCTTAAAGTGCAAATACAGTCCCCAAAAGGACTAAAAAACACACTGAATTTCAAGATTTTGCATGTGGTGGGCTGCAGCAGGGCCGGAGCCATGGAGTCAACATTGGGGGGGCCATTATCTGCTGGGGGTTCTGGGGGTTAGGAGCATTTATTCTAATTATTTCGGACAGCGATGCATGGTTTCCTGTCCTACTGTAGTAGCATAACAAAGATTTTTTTTATGTATATGTTAGCAATAATTTGGGGGTGGGGGGTGATGTGTCCCCCCAAATTTATATTATAATTCCTGCCTTGGGCTAAAGTGTCATAGCTGTCATTTAAGACACTAAATTTGGAATGTAGAGGTTTCAATATCTCTGGAAATTAAGCCTTTGCATGAAAAAAGTGAGTAATTTCATTTTGACATTTAGGCTGCAGCTCCAGTATGACGTATTATTAAGTTTTGCAGTGCACCGTTGAGAGAAAATCATCACAGATGCCACATTTTGCAATAGATGCCATCAACTGTTTTAAAGGGCCTTCTTACTCTGCTTCTATTCATGCATTTTTGTAACATTTACATTGAAAAAACAAGTAATTTAGTCACTTTTAAAGAGAAAAATGTCTGGACATTATCAAATGCTATAACCATAAGCCTACTGCTTAGCCTTTTTTCTAACCAAACAAGGCAAAGTGACACTTCTTAACCAAGAAAGCTACATTTATTTATTTATTTTTGGATTTTGGATTCACTCACCAGTCTTTTTACAATGTAGTAGTAAAACACAAACTTATAACATGGTGTGTTTTTCTTTTAAGATGAATGAATAAAAAATATTAAAGAGTTGAAAAACAAATTTAAACACTTTCCAACACATTTTCTGCTTCTTCCAAATTTCCTCAAATGTAATTCCCTGAAGCCTCATTGTGAGCGTAATTCTTTCCATTACATAGATTTCATAAATGATATCACACCAGCTCTCTATAAATGGGGTGTCTGGCTTAAGTCATTTGTTTGTAATTGCTTTTCTAGCAACGACACTCAGTATGCCTAGTATTTTGTGTTAATATGAGAAGATGCTGAAAGTAAAAAGCCCCAAAAAGGAGTTCATCACACTTAAATATATATTTTTTTCTGTGTAAATTTCACACCAGAAAGTGTTTACTTTCTGACAGGCCCAAAACAAGTGGTAACGGTTGGCTTCCTGGGAGCCAAAATTCCTCCAGTGGTGAGACCTCTGAGCAGGTGTAATATCTGCAAAGACTCTTCTAGCCAGACGCTCTACATACAGTTCAGCTTGACATCTTCCACTGAAATTCACAATATTTTGTCCAAACTTAAAGCTAGAAAGCCACATATAAGTCCTCAGTGTTTGGAAAGTGTGAGTAAAGTCACAAGGATGCTGCTACGTTGGTGTTTCTGGTCATTTTTGGGTTACAGCAGCTCTTTTTTTAGCTGAGCTCTGTGTTTCAGTGTTGCCTTATTTCCCATTCAGATGTATTTTGCTTCCCTCAGTAGTCAGTAGTCTATAGTCAGTTAATGCTTGGATTAAATTTCCTCACAGCACAGTAGCTTGCCTGAGCCCTATTTAACTTGGTAAGCCTCATGATGATTGTGGCACAAGCAGTCATTATGGAGGGTTGAAAACATGAACAAAAAATGAGCGAAGGAAAAAGGAGGGGAAGGGTTACGGGAGGGGAGGGAGGGCGGTGTGCAACACGGGCCCTGCTGAAATGGATTGGCTGTGCAGCCCAGAGTATTTGTTTTAGGCAGTCGCTGTGGCGCTCTGCCAAGCAGGCCGACAGCTCCTAAGTTTCCAAGTCAGCAGTGCCCTTAAAAAAAAAAGGTCCCCCCCATTACAGGAGGGATGTAGAGATAATGTACTGTGACACACGTTATGTACACTGGGTCTCGGCGAGAGGAGCTTCAGGGACACAGGTGTCATAAGAGCCATTAATCTGCTATTGTCACGTGTTATTGCAAATTAAAAGTAGCATGTTACACTTGGCAGCCATTGCTGCGGACGGACAGAGTGGGGGAGAGGGAGACCTCTGGAGACGGTGTCTTTGGTGACCATGGCTGTCCGCACCTTTTACAAAGTGACATATATTAGAATTTGCAATTCTGCAGAGAAAAGCTATTACCTCACAGATTAACATCCCAACTCCGCCACCCCCGCTGCTTCTGACACGGTGGGCTCCAGAAAAGACAAAGGAGAAGCTGCTCCTCTCAGGGTCAAATAAAAATCTGTCATACAGGATCTGATGTTTAAGTACAAATCTGCTTTCATGGATGTTTTTTGTTCACCTTCTTGTTATTAGTGAGCGTCTGAGTGAGCTGAATTGACTGTTGAGAACATGCAGCGTCCATGAAGTGTGTCCAGGCCTTTCAAAGTCATATCACAGCGGCCTTTCAGAGCGGCCCACAAATTGCACAATCAGACCTGTAGACGACTCTTAATTTCAGCCATTCTGGCCGCTTTCTAGCTTTGTGTCGGGCTTTCTTCTTGATTTATGAGAGGAATACAGAGAGAGAGAAATTTCATGATAAGATGATCATCATATATTTCAAAAGCCAACAACAATAGCCAGTGGCAGTCAGAATGGATGTGATTCTGTGCTTCAGTAGCTGTTGAATTAATTATTTCTCATCTCTGAGCGTCATGAGGACTGAGCTGATGTGTGTGTGTGTGTGTGTGTGTGTGTGTGTGTGTGTGGATGGAGATGAGTGATGGAGCGGGCCACCGTCACACCCTGCTCTGTGTATCAGCATCTGTTATGGAGGGGTGGGGGAGAGAGGAAGAATCAACACAGGAACTCAGAGTGGAGCAAAATGTCAGCACCTAAGTGCAACCTCCAAATTAGATTAATAAAGCCTTTAAAAGCTCAGGAACATCACAGCAAATGGATGGCCGACAGCAAGTTTCCAAAATGTTTCCCCTCTGAATCATCCCAGCAGGACACCGACGTCATTACACGTCCACATGACGTAAAATTCTAACATCATTAGATATTTAAAATATCGTCAACACGAGTTTCATTCCAACAAACTTCCAACGTCTTTCTGACAGCATCTTGACATCCAGTACCGACTGGGTTACGAGGAGGAGCAGCTACAGAATACTTTGATTATTTTGATTTGTTTGTACTATAAATTGTCAGAATATACTTACACTACTTGTAATGTCTTCTCAGCTGGCTATCAACATCATGAGACCTTGATATTTGGTTGAATTTAAATTGTGACACTGGGTTAACAAATTCAATGTCAGAATGTCTAATGCCAACGTCTATTGGACGATAGATGATTTTGTTGGTTTAAAGATCAATCAATCAGTCAATTTTATTTATAAAGCCCAATATCACAAATCACAATTTGCCTCACAGGGCTTTACAGCATACGGATATACATACAAGATGTGTTAAGTAACCAAAATCCAACATCTTCCAAACGT